TGAATCCAGCCCAACTCCAGGGTTTAAACCAATCAGAATAATTTAATTCTCTTCGCCAAGGTCACTGATTCAGGTGAAGGTCTAAAACAATCCTGCATGTTCTCTCTCTCTCTCTGCCCCTTGCCCTCTGAAATCAATAAAAATTTTAAAAATATGTTAACACATTGCGTACCGCATAGAAATCTCTAAGACATACGCCAGGGACTGCACGTTTTTGGGCAAACTGCACATTATTTAAATCATCATAATGCACTTTAGGTGTTGTTTTTCAATAATTATAACATTTTTATTTACAAAAGCAATTAAACAATTAAAGTTCCTAGTACTTTTTTAACGTATGGTACTGCGTAAAACGTTTTCCTCTATGAAGAAGGACCAAACAAAATTTACATAAGTATCTAGATTCGCTCCTTTTTCCATGGGCGTGAAAAACGAGAACACTCCTGAGCGGTCCTTAACAGACGGCGCGCGAAACACGAGAAAACTCCTGAGCGGTACGAAATGTGTTAAAAACAACCCTGTATGTATTGCCTTGATCACTGGTATTGACTTGGGAATAGTTAACCTGACATTCAAGTCTTCCGCCTGGAATTCTGGAACACAAATCTTTCCTTCTGAGGCATCCAGCCATAGCAATTAGAAAACATGAAAAAAAAAAAGCTATCCTACAGACAGAAGTGACCACAAAAGAAGACAGAACCAAGAATCTCAGAAAAAGAAACTAGAGCGCTGATTGAGTCACATCTGAAACTCATCCTCCCACTGTCAATAAATCCCTTTAATAAGTCAGTTTGAACAGAATTTACTTATTTACATGTGAAAAACTCCTTCCTGATATATGACCAAAAGGAAAATGAGCAACTCACATAAGAAATAAAAATGTCAAATAAACGTCCAACCTAACAATAAAAAAGTTAATTAAAACAAGGCTTCATTTTGAGTTTATCAGATTAGCAAAAATTTTAAATATGGTTAATATACAATTCTAGTAAGAATGGGTCTATTTAGGCACTTCTAAATTCAGTTGCTAGAAGTATAAACTGCTAAGGCCTTTTTGGGAGGCAATTTTTAGTTGTCTATCAAAATTTGAATTGTGATTTTCTGAGCCCAATAATTCCTCTTATGGTCTTTAACTTATAGAAATATTCAAGATGTATGTGTAGCATACATGGATCTCTAACTATAGAAATACTTAAGATACTCATTGTAGCATTGTTTACATTTGTGGAAAACTGAAACTAATCTAAATGCACATCAGTAGGAAATGGTTAAATAAATTATAGTACTGAAACTAATACAAAATAATATTGAATGTAAACTGTAACAGAAAAATAAAATTTAGAAAATTATAGTATAAACATAATATGAAATACTGTGCAGCAGTTTGGAAAGAATTGAAACATAATGATATACATGTGTGTACTGATATACATGTATATATCCACAATATATATTAATGAAAAAGCAAGCTGCAAAGTAGTATGTACAGTAAGACTCGATATGACACAGAGAGAAAAGAAAGCCCATAAAGCTGAGTCTAGCCAGACAGGCGTGGCTCAGTGGTTGAGCATCAACCTATGAACCAGGAGACCACGGTTCGGTTTGCAGCCAGGGCACATACCCAGTTTTCAGTTTGTGGGCTCGATCCCCCAGTGTAGGGCGTGCAAGAGGCAGCAATGATTCTCTCTCATCATTGATGTTTCTACCTGTCTCTGAAATAAAAAAAATTTTTTTTTTAAAAAGCTGAGTCTATAAATGGAAGAGATAAAGAGAGGCTTTCATTTTATATTCTTCTGTCTTCTTAAAATTTTTAAATGAGAATTTTATTTTTATGTACAGTATAATTTTTATTTAAAATCTATGTATATTAATATTTATATAGATATGTAAAAATGTAGAAATGCATAAAAATGTTCAAAAAATACATATAAAAATGTTACTGTTATCTCTGAGTGGTGGAATTATAAGTGTATTTTTCTTTAGACTTTTCTGTAGTTTCTGAAAAAAAGTACATAGAATATATATTCCATCAATAATTAATGAATAAGGAGATATTTTAAAAGAAAGAGGGACTAAGCAAACTACTCTATGGGAGGACTGACTCTTACTGTCACTTGCTCTAAGGTTTAGGAAATAAACATTTTGACCTAAGGATAAAGTAGGCTCTACTGAATGTGGAACTATGGGAAAGATGCTTGAAGTTGCAGGGACCTGGGAACAAGGGAAAGAAGGGGCCTGGCAAGTAATGAAAACAAGATAAATTGGCTCCAACAGCTCATGATTACAATATCACTAAGACACAATGTTCCTGGCCTGTGGGGCTCAATTGGTTGAGCGTCCTTCCATGCACCAAAAGGTCACCAGTTCAATTCCCGGTCAAGGCACATGCCCTGGTTTGGGGCTTGATCCCCAAGAGTGCAGGAGGCAGCAGATGGATGTTTCTCTCTCCCTCTCCCTTTCTCTCTCTAAAATCAATAAAAGTATATTTAATAATAATAAAGACAGACTGTACTGCCCTGACCTTTAAGCAAGTTACTTAACCTTTCCTCTGCTTTAGAATTAAGATACAGAGCCCTAGCCGGTTTGGCTCAGTGGAGCACGTGCAGGAGGCAACCAATCCATGTTTCTCTTCTCTGTCTCTCTCCTCCTCTCTTCCCCTCTTTCTAGAAATCAATGGGAAAATATCCTCAGATGAGGAGTAACAAAAAACAAAAGATCTGTAAAATGGATCTATAAGATGTAGGTAATTCCAGTACTTACCTAGGAGGATTGTTGAGGAATAAATTAATATACATAAAGCACTTAGTCAGGGGCATCCATGTATTTGCTACTAAAATCAGTAGGTAGTGTAGTTTCCCTCTAAGTACACCATAGTGAGAAACATAACATTTCTGCCTTACTATTTTGTTGCAAATACAGGGAACAAAAAAGTCAAGAGCCAAACTACAACCCATGGGCCTCTAGCTAATAATAAATGTTACATTTTAAAGAGATGCAGAACAAAACAAAAATATATATATGGCAAGAGATCACCGTGGGTTTGCAAAGCTACTTACTATCTGGCCCTTTACAGAAAAAGCCTGCCACCCCTGATGTAAGCAATAGGTGCAACAAAAACCTTCTGAGTTGGAGGGCCTTTGGAGGTCACCAAGAATCCTTTCTGGAAATTAAATGACCACTGGCCATCCAGTTGCTGCTTAAAGGGCTCCGAGTGATGGAGGACTGTTTGACCTGAGCTTTGAACGAAAACCTCTCTTCTTTCTTTCCACACTCATTTCAGTCTCAACCTCCTTGCCCCTTTCCCCTGCTCCTTCTGGCTTCCTCTGTGAGCCGCAGATTTATGTCTCAAATCCTGGCTCTGCCGCAGAACCAGAAAACTGACATAAACTCTGAGCCTGGCAAGCTTTTTCTAGAACAGTGGTTCTCAACCTTCTGGCCCTTTAAATACAGTTCCTCATGTGACCCAACCATAAAATTATTTTCCTTGCTACTTCATAATGTAATGTTGCTACTGTTATAGATCGTCATGTAAATATCTGATATGCAGGATGGTCTTAGGCCACCCCTGTGAAAGGGTCGTTCGAGCGCCAAAGGGGTCGCGACCCACAGGTTGAGAACCTCTGCTCTAGAACGTGCAAATAACAATTTGGGGATTGTAAGGATTAAGTGAGGTGGCGTGAAAGCGCCTAGAGCAGTGGTTCTCAACCTTGGCTGCACACTAGAATCACCTGGGAATCTTTTTAAAATCCTGATTTCTGGGCCTCATCCTCCAGAAATTCTGTTTCTTTGTTACTAATGTTGTGGCCCCACCCCATAACAAAGAAACAGAATTTCCGGAGGATGAGGCCCAGAAATCAGGATTTTAAAAAGATTGCCAGGTGATTCTAATGTGCAGCCAAGGTTGAGAACCACTGGCCTAGAGGACCCTCCATGTTACCTGCTTTGAGAACCAATCAGCTACTTTGAGGACTTAAGCCCATCTTTCCAGAACAAAAACAGCTACTGTCCAATGCAGAGCTCTTGGCGAGAAGTTAGTAGGCCCTATAAGCTCTAGTCCCGTTTCTTCCACCTGCGGCCGTGAGCAAAGTTACTCATGCTGTGATTCACGGGCCTGTTTTCTCACCGATAAAATGAAGGGGATGAATGACCAGACAAACGGCCAGGTCCCTTCTGGGTTAGAAAACCCTCTGAAACACTGGCTTTCCGAACAGGGTGGAGGAATGTCCCCTTCCACACTCGGAGTCCCGAAGCTCAAAGGACTGAGTCTCACCCCTGGAAGCAGCATTCGGGGTAAACCCGTGGGCCCGTTCTGGCTACCGGCAACGTCGGTGAAACCGTAATCAAAACTGCAACATAGCCCAGCGCTTTAGGCGCGCGCGCGCGCACACACACACACACACACGCACACACGCACACACACACCCCACCCGCGAACAGTTGGTTCACGCGCGGTGATCAATTAACCGGTCTAAGTTCCTGCACTAATTGCTTTGGTATAGGAGACCGCGTCCCGGAGCTTCCTTCCGCTGGCCGAGCTCCACTCCCCCAGGGAGGGGGGCAGCCGCGGGCACTGGCGCTGCGGGTGGGAAAGAAGTGCGGGTCTCGCCGAGGGGGAAAGGGCCGGGCGAAGAGCCCAGCGCACCCGCCGTCTCACCTGCGTTCGCGTCCGCTAAGGCTCCCGCAGTTGGCAAGGTTCGCACCCTAATGACAGAATGCGGAGGGGCCGGAGGGCGGGGCCAGCCTGGAAAGGACCCCTCACGTCAGCCGGCGGTTCCGCGGGCTTCGCTGGTCTTGCGGCTGCCCGCTGGCCGCCTGACTGAAAAACCCGGCATGGTACCCTCTTCTCGATGGGCCACCTTCCTTCCAGCAAGGAAAGGGTCCTTTTTGTCCCCTTATCCTGGAGCGAAGGGCAGGGTTAAGGGGCCCGCGGCAACTCAGCGTCGGGATTTTAGTCAGGCAATGCGTCGGGCGCCTGCCCGGGGCCGGGCTGCGGGAAAGAAAAGTCTTGGGCCTGGCCCCCCAGCACTTGAAGCTCTTTCCACTTTCGTCCTCTTCTGCTCAAGATGGTGGCCTCCCGCGCAATCGGTTGCCTCAGACGCTTTACAAATGCCTCCAGGACGCTCCACTGCTCAGGTGAGGCCTGGCTGAGGGCGCCCCGGACCCCCGGGTATAACGCCTGCGGAGACTAGGGCGGCCTCGGACCCGCGTCCCCCACTCGCTGCCCCCTCCCTGACCCCGCCCGGGGCCACAGCCCTGGGTTGGGGGGGGGGCAGGGAAGATGCTGCCCTGCGACCGGGTCTCCCGTGTCCTTGGGAAAGGACTGTCACTTCCTCTCATGACTCCGAGCCGAGTACGGGTTTCAGGCTCCGTAACCTCTAAGGTTCCCGAGTCCGGTGCACCGGCCTGGCACTTGCCGCGCGTCTCCCCGCCGCACGTCTGGGCTCACGCCCCTCTCACTCCTGTAACGGCGGCCTTGAACCTGCCCTACCGGACCCGGAGGTCCAGGACCGGGACACTCCGGTCGGTCACGCCTCTGTGCCTCCACGACAGCTGGCCCATAGCAAGAGCTACCCTAAAAGCTGCTTGGACAGAATTCACCAGCCTTTTTTATTTTTTATTTTTTACCATTTTTTAATAGGGAGCTCAGCCGTTGCCGTTCAATCATCCCAGTGTGTTGAATTTCAAGGGGAGGTTCTGCAACCGGCTATAAGAAACATTTTAAAAATAACGCCAACACGTGTATCTTATGGGATAAAATGTGATAGATACCCTGTTAGCTTTCATTCGCGTTGTCTTTCTCTCGCCAAGCTGGCAATGAAAAGGGTGGAAGTGGGTAATTGTGGAAATTCAAGCGTTTTCCTTCCATGTCAGATCTGTAAGCTGAAATGTGACTAACTTTTCTCATTGTGTGTTCTCCCACATCGGATGATTTCACGAGAGATTTCATTTGCATTGTGCCGTCCTCCCCAATCACAGGGGTAGAATGCTGATTTTAGACCGGTAGCTGGAGTTTCCCTTTACTTGAAGGGATTAATTTTGAATGATTGAACCTTTTTTTTCCTCTTCCTATTTTCTTATTTCAGCCACCGTTTTTAGTCTGCACAGGACAGCTGTGTGTGTACGTGTGTGTATGTGTGTGCACACGCCTGTGTGGGTGTGCGCCAATCACAATAACAAAATTGAAATATAAAGATTGGGGAAAGGGATTGAGAGAAAAGAACCACCCATTCTCATACTATTCACCACATAGCTGCTGTTAGTATTTGGCCATGTTACCTTACAGTTTTGTTTCCTGTTTTCCACATTTATTGCTTAACACTGTAGAAAAATTGAATGTATATTTTTTAACCTGCACTTGCATTGGTTTTAAGGTAGTACTTCTTATGGATTAGCAGTGGGTATAACACTTGAGTTGATATTCAAGTCATGTGTTTTCTAGTCACTACCTGTGTGACTGGCCAAATACCTTAATGTAATGGGTTTTATTTTCTTCAACTGTAAAATGAATGATTGAGACTATGGATTTACTTTGAAATGAGAAAGTATGACAGAGGAGTTTGGGTTTCATTCTGGCTCTGCCTTTTACGCTCTGATGACCTTGGGAGTAAAACAGAGAATAATCTCACCTTGTGAGCTTTAAAGGAGTTATTCTAGATGTAAAGCAGTTTTTTATGGAGTAAGTGCTCAGTAAATGTTAGCTATTAACTAACTTCTGCCCTGAGAAACTGTGATTCTATATAACTGAGAATTCTTAAAATAATTTTTACATCTTACATGTGTAATTAAAAGTTACAAGCTTAGTTTTTTTATATTTTAATATAGAAATATATACACATATAAATATTTGCATTATGTTTTCACAAGAAACTATGGCTCATCCTATATAATAAAAGCTTAATATGCAAATCAACCAAACAGGGGAACGACCGGTGGAACGACCAGTCACTATGATGTGCACTGACCACCAGGGGGCAGATGTTCAATGCAGGAGCTGCCCCCAGCCCGCAGGCCCCAGGCCAGCCAAGGCGGGTGCTAGCAGGGGCCCCCCTTCCCCCCACCCCCCTAGTTGCCCCGCAGTCACCCCACAGAGGGAAGCGACCGGTGGCAGCGGTGGCAGACAGGGCCAGCGATCGGGCAGTGCCAGCCCGGCCAAGGTGGGTCCCAGCCCCCCCCCCCCCCGCCCCCCCCCGTTGTCCTGTTGGTTGCCCCACAGATTGGCCCTGATTGCTGGCCAAGCTAGGAACCCTACCCATGCACAAATTTCATGCACCGGGCCTCTAGTTATTTGAAAAAATGTCTAGAAAGTGAATTTAAATTTACCTACACAATGGATTGCCATCTAGACTCAATAGAGTCCTTCATCCTACAAGTCTGTGCAAGTTGTAATGAGATTATGACATTTACTGGTAGGTGATTAAAATCTCTTGAAACTGATTTGTAATTCTAGGAGTTTTATTTTTTATTTTTTAAAAATATATATTTTTTATTGATTTCAGAGAGGAAGGGAGAAAGAGATCGAAACACCAATGATGAGAGAGAATCACTAATTGGCTGCCTCCTGCATGCCATGCTGGCAGCGCTAATTCTTGGAGTTTTAAACCATTCCTTCTCTACAAGTGCTATAATCCTATATAATAAAAGCCTAATATGTAAATCGACCAAACCTCGGAACGACCAGTTGGCGGGGGGTGGGGCTGGCGAGTGGGTGACACCAGGCCAGCCAAGTCGGGTGCCAGAGGGGTGATTGGGGGACAGGGCCAGCTGCTAGCAGAGGGAGGCCAGCCGGCGCTATCCCCTGATCAGCCTGCTAGTCGCCTCTTGCAGAAGGAGGCCAGACTGCAGCTTAGGCCTGCTCCCCATGGGGAGCGTCAGTCGGACATTGCCTGAGGGTTCCCAGACTGCAAGAGGGCGCAGGCCTGGCTGAGGGACAACCCCCCCCCCTCTAGTGCATGAATTTTTGTGCACCAGGCCTCTAGTTCTGAATATAACTATCTAATGAAAAATCACATCTGGACCAAAGTATCTTGTTTAATTTCCACACCTACCCTAAATCTAAATTCCTAATTGTAAATGGTCAAATAATTTCACAGGAAATGGATTGAAGGCAAATACTTTAGAAGATGGTGTATATTTAAATTTGACTCACATCCTTAGTTCTATCCCTTTTTTTTTCTCTCTTTCTTGACCCTCTCCCTTGACTATTGAGAAAACCTGTTGTTACAACCAGTGTAACATTTTCATATTGAAATTTGTGTTAGCATAATCCAACTTTCTCCACTGCTATAGTTTCAGATCTTGTAGGTATCTTTTTTGAGTTACATTATTAAAATGGTTAAAAAGTGGGACAAAGGTTTCTCTCTCTTTTGCTGGCTTAGTAGAATATAGGCTAAAGTTCACCCAGCAGCTCTGACATAAGCTCTGCTGATTAGGTAGTAGGTAAGGCTAGATTCCAAAAGCAAAGCTGCCTTATACTCCAACTTGATTTCGTTGACTGTGGTTTGGAATTCTTTTCCAGATTTTTTTTTAACATGTACTACTTTTTCTCAGCTTTTTGTCTGGGTTAATTTAAAGGAGGTTTTGTGTATATGCTTATAGGTGTGTGTGCAGCAAAGGTAGATTAGTGGGTAAGAGTTTAAAATGGTTTAATCTGTAAGCTAATGAGCACCACCTGTCTTATTTACATATTTGTTTCTTTTTTTGTTTCTTTTTTTTTTTTTGGTCTGTCTGTATTTATCCCTCCCACTGTGCGTTCCCAACCAGTTCGTTCCCCACTCTAATCCACTTTAGCCTATTTAGCTAGACCTGCCTATTCCTTGGCTCCCCTCCCACTGGAATTTGTACTTTATAGGCAAACTCCTTTTTATACCAGCCTAATTCTCACCTCTTATTTATCTCTACTAAGAATTAATTCTTCCTAGATATCCTTTCACCTGCTGCCATGAATGTAAACTCCACAAAGACAGGGATTTTTGACTCTTTTTACTCCAAGTGCCTAGAATGTGTGGCGTTTGGTAGGCCACAGTAAATTTTTTGCTGAATGAAAATGACTGTGAGCTGATGGTGGAAGAGATTACGGTTTAGTTGGGGAAGCACCTGCTACAGATGCAATGATTAGAGAACAAAACAATAGTTAATAAAGATAAAAAATTTTAGCAGAAAAGAGAAAGATCATTTGTAGATGGAATCTCAAAATAAGGCGTTGTGGAAAAGGTTGGAGCCATGATATAAATATAAAGAAATACAGATGATACAGATTTCAAATGATGGAAAAGCAAAGAAGGGAAGTGTATCATTAGTGTATCATTAGTGAAGCAGAAGCACAAGGAATTGAGGAGATAGCTGGCTTCTCTTAACACGCACTTTTATAATCATTACATCATTTTACTTCCATCTATAAGAACACTGAAATGCACTAAAAGAGTTGTTCATGGCCATTCTACTAGTAAATTATAAACCTGATGATTCAGCCCAAGTCTTTTGACTCCCTTTGTCTTTACACTAGCGGCTGACTTGGATTGCTTAAAGAAGAAATGCAAATGAAACCAGAGCTCACCCCATTGTGGTTCTGGTACCATTCCACACAGTTTTCTTTTCTTTTTCAATAATATATTGCTTTGCCTTCAAACCAGCAAGATCCTTGGCCACTATTTATGGTCCTCTCCTAACCCACTCCACCACCAGTGGGTTCACATCACTGGTTTGCTGTATGCTTCGGTTACCTTTTTTAAAAATGCAGCTGCTGAAGCTCGGCCCCTTTAAATTCTGATTCCATGATTCCAGGTTGTCTGTCACTCAGGAATTTGTGGGTATATTTGAGCCTCCCCACCTGATTCTAATACCTAACATAGTTCTGGAATCACTTTTCAATACTGCCAAGTGAATCCCACTTCGGCTGGATCTTTGAATAGTCTTACGTGTAATAGTTCACTCCAGAAGGGTCGCTACCTTCTGGTCTAATATAGACCATTCTTACTTGGAAACTGGGTATGGTTCTAAAGTTTGTTTCTAAACGATGTAGAGAATGTGTTATTTTTTAAACCCAGATAAAACTTTTTTCTAAGATTATCGGACAAAACTTGGAAGATGTTGGTAGGGAGAGGAGTAAGGAGTTAGAGGTGCATAGGAAATATGGTTGGTCATTAATATGAAAACAAGGGAAGAAAGAGCAGGGTGGTGTTATTTTTAATTGAAAGTTGTACCCTAGCTGGTTTGGCTCAGTGGACTGAGTGTAGGCCTGCAGACCAAAGAGTCCCGGGTTCGGAGATTCCAGTCAAGGGCACATACCTTGCTTGCAGGCTCCTCCCGGGCCCAGACCCTGGTCCGGGCATGTGCAGGAGGCAACCAATCAATGTGTTTCTCTCACATCGATATTTCTTTCTGTCTTTCCCGCTCTCTTCACTCTCTGTAAAAATCAGTGGAAAGATATTCTCAGGTGAGGATTAAAAAAAATAAATAAATTGGAAGTTATAATTAAGGGATGTTAACCCTGTGCTAGCCTCCAGAACAGCTTGGTTATAGCCTATAGCAAGGTGTTTGGATAAGAGCAGGGCAAAGGTGAGTGTTTAATGCTAGAAAGGAGGCAGGGTAATGCCCAGAATAACTTGGAATTTTTGCCTGGAATTCCCCAATGTTCCTTATTTCTATCCAGAGGCCAAATTGAAAGACCCTCTGTTGGGACTTCTGTTGTGATGGCTTTTGCTCAAAAGATCATCTCATCATCATGCTGGAGAGCCTCAAGTAGTGAAGTGGTTGGGAAGGAGGAAGAATAGCTGGTCTTTGTTATCCCCAGGGTAGGGGTATTCTTGGCGGAGTGCGCTATAGACTTATTCTGTGAGAAAGGCTGAAAATAACATGTGATGTGGACTCTTTTATTTATAACTAGAGGCCCAATGCACAAAAATTTGTGCAAGAGTAGACCTTCCTTCCCCCTGCTGCCGGCACCAGCTTCCCTCCGGCACCTGGGACCTGGGCTGCCGGCACCAGCTTCCCTCCTCCAGTCGCCGGCAGGCACCCGGGACTTGGGACCCAGGTTGGCTTCCCCTGGGCCACCCGCAGGCACCCGGGACCCCGGCTGGCTTCCCTCCAGCCCTGGCTTCGTCAGGAAGGATGTCCGGAATGACGTCCAGTCTAATGAGCATATTACCCTTTGATTATTATAGATATTCACTAGTGCCCCTTGATTTGATAACATTGGAAACTCCATCTCTCCATAGAAATGTAAGCAGATGTGGCTGAGGAACATGGCTGAGATATATTTGGAATACATTTGGAACTGACATTACAGATTGTTTTGTAGATAACTTATTTCTTAGTGTATGCATTTTCTATTGTTGCCATAACATATTTCCACAAACTTACAATACAAACACTAATTTGTGCTCTTACGGTTATGTCAGAAATGAGTCTCACTGGGCTAAAACCAATGGTGTTGGCAAGGCTGTTTCATTCTGGGTGCTGGAAGGAGAGTCTATTCTTTGCCTTTTCTAGAGGCTGCCTGCATTTCTCGACTTCTTCAAAACCAGCAAAATGGGACCACGTTCTTTTCATGCTGCCATCTCTCTGGTTCTCTTTGCCTCTCTCTTCCCTCTTGTGATTACATTGGGCCCAACTGGATAACCCAGGATAATCTTCTATGTTACGGTCAGCTCATTAGCAACCTTAATTCCATGTGCAGCCTTTATTCCCCTTTGCCATGTAACCTAACATATTCACAGTTACTAGGGACGTGGGCATTTTTGAGGAGCTATTCTTCCACCTCCCACATTTAGTATCCAGATAATCATATGACCTGGTAATTGAAAAAAAAAAAAAGATATGGTAGTGGTCACAATAATAGCCTAGAACACGTTGTTCTAATTTTGTTTTTTTGTTGTTATAAATTCCAGCTTTGTTATATATAACAAGTACTACAGAAATGCTGTTTTGTAAAATAATTAATTTTGAAAACCCTTTTTCTTATAGGTTATATTTCCCGCAACTTTACAGGGTCCTCTGCTTTGCTGGGTAAGTTTAATTTCTTGTTATCATGTTTACATCGCTTTTCAGATTTATTTTGCAATAAAACTGTTTACAAATAAATTTTTCTTCTCTTTTTAGCCAGAACCCATATTAACTATGGAATCAAAGAGGATGTGGCAGTTATTCGAATTAACTCACCCAATTCAAAGGTACCTCCTTTAACTTGCTGCAGTTTATTTCTACTAACTACATTCGTGAATCCAGTCTTGAATGGGAAAGAAATCCACCAATCTGGCAGTAATCTTATCATATAAATTTACACTTTTGATAGTTAAATTAGTTAGTTGGACAAGTTGCCCAAGGAATGGAGTTTTCTGAAGCAGAGGTCCTTATTCAAGAATTCCTTCTCATTGCCCTAGCTGGTTTGGCTCAGTGGCTAGAGCATCGGCCTGCGAACTGAAGGGTCCCGGGTTTGATTCCAGTCAAGGCACATGCCCAGGTTGCGGGCTCGATCCCCAGTAGGGGGCATGCAGGAGGCAGCCAATCAACGATTCTCATCATTGATGTTTCTCTCTCTGTACCTCTCTCTCTTCCTCTCTCTCTCCCCTTTCCTCTCTGAAATCAATAAAAATATATATTTTTTAAAAAAGAATTCCTTCTAGTTAACCCAGGTGTCAGATTACCATCAAGGATTAATAAAACTAGCCTTCTGTCATAGTGTAGAATGATGACTTATTAGATAAGGACCAAAATACAATCTTTGTTTATAAGAATCAAACTACCCATCTGGTTTCTTCATTACCTGCTTGACATTAGTTATTATCTATAAGTTAGCTGGGTTAAATGTGGTTGTTAAGCTTCCTGAGGGATGTGAATGACTTCGTGCTATTCACATATTGGAGGTCAAGTTCTGTTCAAAGTGGAGCTTTATTTGTTTTGGGCAACTTCAACAAAGCAGATAGCATTAATCCAGTCTTTTGCCAAGAGGAGCTTTATTGCAGGAGCTCATGGTTTTCCCCCCATCTAAAATTGGTGTAAAGGTTTTTTATTCAGAAATCTTGTTACCAGAAGCCCAGATGAAATAGGAAGACCTAGATGGAAGCAATGAACTATCACAAATTAAGGAAAACAGGAGATAGTTCCCATCTCTAGAGTAAATCTTGGCACTCACTGACCAGTGATTCAAACTTAAGATATTTTTTCAGAATTTTCTAAGTTGAACATTTTTCATGAGCACAAAAAATAACATATGGCTATTGTAGGACTTTTTTAAAATATATATTTTATTGATCTTTTTACAGAGAGGAAGGGAGAGGAGTAGAGAGTTAGAAACATTGATGAGAGAGAAACATCGATCAGCTGCCTCCTGCACACCCCCTGCTGGGTATGTGCCCGCAACCAAGGTACATGCCCTTGACTGGAATCGAACCTGGGACCCTTCAGTCCACAGGCCGATGCTCTATCCACTGAGCCAAACCGATCCAGCAAGCTATTGTAGGAAATTTTAAAACTACAGTAGGTCACCGAAACCGGTTTGGCTCAGTGGATAGAGCGTTGGCCTGCGGACTGAAAGGTCCCAGGTTTGATTCCGGTCAAGGGCATGTACCTGGGTTGCGGGCACATCCCCAGTAGGAGATGTGCAGGAGGCAGCTGATCGATGTTTCTCTCTCATCAATGTTTCTAGCTCTCTATGTCTCTCCCTTCCTCTCTGTAAGAAATCAATAAAATATATTAAAAAAAAAAAAACTACAGTAGGTCCTCGGGTTATGTCGGAGATCCATTCCTACGGTGCAACATAACGCAATTTTCGCCATAAGTTGGAACCCACCTACATAAGCACCTACGTCACTCACATGGAGCACATACACAGCAGTAATGAAGTGAAACAGTAAAAAGAAATTTAAAAGAAAGATAACAATTCCTGACCTTTACTTGTGGTAAATAAATAATAATAATAAAAAACATAAAGCACATATGTCGAAATGCCAGAACTTTTTTTTTTATAAATAAATGGAAGATGGCAACGTAACCACGAAATGACGTATGTCGAATCGGACGTAACCCAAGGACTGTCTGTATAAAGAAAATATAATTATTTATATTCCAAACCCAAAAATAACTACTTTAACATTTCATCCAGTTTCAACAGTGTTTATGAAATTAAGATCATACTATGTATCTAATTTTGATTCTTTTTTTCCTTAATGTTATATAAATTTTTTCCACGTCAGAAATGTTTGTACACTTATCAGCCAGGCTGAGTAGACCTATTTTTAAAGGATGGTATGCTTATAGCTGACTGAATAGAAAACTACAGGGTATTTGGTTTTTTTATAAGAAACCCTGCCTCCCTTTCTTGCTTCTAGCAGTATATTTCTGGTGGATAAACATATTTTCTACCATCAAAATAGCACCTGATAGTGACTTGCACATCTGGTTCTTCAAATTTACACCCTTGGATTTATATGTATTTCTCTTTGACAGGTAAATACACTGAATAAAGAACTACAATCAGAGTTCATGGAAGTAATGAATGAAATCTGGGCTAGTGATCAAGTCAAAAGTGCTGTCCTTATTTCATCAAAGCCAGGCTGCTTTATTGCAGGTGCTGATATCAAGTAAGTTTTATTAGAGTTGATTTAAAAAGAGGGGCTTGTTGCTTAAGCCATGTAAGACTAAAAATAGCCTTTTCTTAAAGCAGTTGAAAACACTTCAAATTCCTATCTCAGTAGAATAAAAATATTATAAAATTAAGCTAACAATAGATGCTGTTTAAAAGTTTGAAAATTATCATTTTAGCAAGCCCTTGGAGAAATGAGAAAGTTAATATATTACTAATTGGAATGCCAGTTGTACAGCCACTTTGGAGAGCAATTGGCAGCATTAGCAAAATTGAAAATGCATGTACCATAAAATCCAGTGATGCCTCTTCTAGGTATATATGCTAGACCAGGAGTGGGCAAACTTTTTGACTCGAGGGCCACAATGGGTTCTTAAACTGGACCGGAGGGCCGGAACAAAAGCATGGATGGAGTGTTTGTGTGAACTAATATAAATTCAAAGTAAACATCATTACATAAAAGGGTACGGTCTTTTTTTTTTTTAGTTTTATTCATTTCAAACGGGCTGGATCCGGCCCGCGGGCAGTAGTTTGCCCACGGCTGTGCTAGACAAATCCCACCCTTATGTTTAAGAACCCATGCACAAGGATGTTCAGTTCTGTATAGTTTAAAATAGAATTTGAAACAAGCTAAATGTCAGTCATTTGGGAAATGGATAATTAAAATGTGAAATATTCACATGATAAAATACTACAAAACAGTTCAAAGGAATTAACTAGATCCACAACATAATATTAGAGCTCAAAAACATAATGTGAAGTTAGAAATAAAAGGCAATTTATTGAATGTTTCCTACAGTATATAGTTTATGTAAAGGTTTTTAAACCATACACGAAATATTCTTTATATTTTTTGTGGACACAGATAAGTAGTTGCTCTGGAAGGATACAATACAAACATGAAAATGGTTGTTTCAGGGTGAATGAAGTGGCTGGTAGGACTTGAGGTTGTCAAAGGGAACTTTATTGATGCAACTAAAACTTTCTTTTTTTAAGTGGTAGATTGTATACCTGTAAAACTTGTTTACAATTCTTTAAGACATATACAGTATAAGCAGAAGAAATTATATCTTAGTGTTAGTTTAATGGGTTAAAATGTGAACAGTTGCCGAAACCGGTTTGGCTCAGTGGATAGAGCGTCGGCCTGCGGACTGAAAGGTCCCAGGTTCAATTCCGGTCAAGGGCATGTACCTGGGTTGCGGGCACATCCCCAATAGATGTGCAGGAGGCGGCTAATCGATGTTTCTCTCTCATCGATGTTTCTAACTCTCTATCTCTCTCCCTTCCTCTCTGTAAAAAATCAATAAAAGAAATATATATTTTAAAAAAATGTGAACAGTTAATTCTGTCAAAATAGGGGTATTTATTATTCTTTGTGCTTTGGGCAATGTTGGCCAATATTATAGGCTTAATAATTTGCACTTAAGGTGTTTGTATATTTTTAAACCTTGCTGTAACATTGTGTATCCATTTTTGTTTGTGTAACTAAAAATTTATAAATATTCTGTTTAATGTTTATTTTTTAGGAAAAGATTGAGTGCTTTGTTTCCTAGTTCAGTTATTTGAGACTAGTGAGACACTACTATACCTGGCAGTAGCTAGCTACATCCATAAGAAAATACTTTTGGCTTCCATAAGGCTAGTTGAGCAATTCCCAGCATATAAAATGACAGAAAAATAGTTGTCTTTGGTCAGAAGTACAGAATTCACAACTTAAATGTGATCAGAAACAAAGTAAGTAGGAAATAAAACAAACTAAAATTAAAGGGCATGGTTTACATTATTGCAGCAGACCTTTTTTGATCGTTAGGGGATCTATTTAAGATTTTAGATCCCTCTAAACAACTTGAAAGCTTTTTTTCCCCTGCCATTTTGATTGCTGTTTAATCTGAAAGCTACCTCATAGTGGAAATATTTACTAGAAGATGATTTTTCTCATGTTCAGAGCCTTTTAATCTAATGATTAGTTATTGAAGCGAAAATAAATTGTGCCACATGTTTTGTTTCATGTTCTCTGGATCCAGAAACTTAACACTCTTTAGAGAGACGATGTCACTGATATTAGTGCTACCTGAGGCAGATCCATACTTAAACTTGTGAGTATTTAAAGATTCACCACCACACATTGATATATGATAGGATTGAGGATACAGTAGATGAAGTATTTAACAAAGTGGGCTACAGTTTCATCTTTGATTTTTTTCTGTTCTCGGCTTTCATGTTTACTGCAGCATGATAGCCGCTTGCAAGACCCCTCAAGAGGTAACACGGCTTTCACAAGAAGGACAGAAAATGTTTGAGAAACTTGAGAAGTCTAATAAGCCTGTTGTGGCTGCCATCAGTGGATCCTGCTTAGGAGGAGGACTTGAGGTATGGGTTTATTACAGAGTCACTGTTTAGCCCAGTGTTAGGACTCGTCCACTGTAAACTTTTATAGGCTAGTTTTGCCTGGGAAAGTTCTCAGAAAATCAGCTTTCTTTTTAGTTATCAAACTTCTGGATCTGTTTTAATCCTTAATCTCATGGCACAGAGCATGTGAACCAAGTGTGATGTTTTCATTTATAAATTGAGAAGATTTCAGCTAGATCTCTTAGATGCCTTTCAATTCTAAAAACCTGGTTAAAGTTTGCAGGGCAAAGATTCAGAAGTGTAATGCATGCTCATGAGCTAAAGTCTAGTTGAGATACACAAAGCATAATACATGCTTAAGTGCTTTGTGAGTAGTAAAGGTAGTAAATTCTAAAAGATTTGAGAGAAGAGATGCTTATTAGACTAGAGCGTGTAGGAAAGAAAGGGAAAAGAAAATATTTATCGAGCATTTCTCACATGCTGGCTTCTATGCTAGCCACTCTCACAACAAATTAATTAAGGAAAGCTGTGCTTGGTCCTAAAAGATAGGCAGAATTTGATTAACCAGAACGGGGGGGGTGTGGGGGGCATTCCACATATGGTGAGGTGTGAGCAAAGACAAGGGATAAGAGAAGCCTAGGAGGACATCACAGGTAGAACTGCTTGATTGAAAAGGAAGTCTGTAGGGTAACGGGCTTCTTAAGCTGGGCTGCGTGTACAGTTGCGTGTGCATTTTTCTATGGAGAGCTCCCATAGCTTTCAGCAGATTTTTAAGGAACTCTTCAGCCCAAAAAGAAGTTATTAAATTAGGGGAAAGTATGAAATAAGGCTGGAAGGGTAAATTGTAGAAAGCATTAAATGCCAGCCTAAGAAATTACAGTTTATTCTGTGGGCACATTCCTGGTCTAAAGAAGTAATCTTTGGACCCTCACAGATCCTAAGCTGTTATAAGATTACATTTTCTAACATTCCAATTTTCTTTTCATTTGTTCGAAGCTTGCCATTTCATGCCAATACAGAATAGCAACAAAAGATAAAAAGACAGTATTAGGTGTCCCTGAAGTCTTGCTGGGGATCTTACCAGGAGCAGGAGGCACACAAAGGCTACCCCAAATGGTGAGTTTAAGACCCCCTTCCTCCCACTGTGAACTTCAGAACCTTGGTGCTTATGTGCCCCTTTGGTAATACAAAAGGCATAGTATTGGGTATTCATTGTAGGATTTAGAAATAAAATAAAATACGAATATTTAGGATCAATAGCAGATTTTTCCTGGTATTTTTTTTCCAATTTATTTTTTAATTTATTTTTTCAGTTTCTTGGATTAAAATTATTAATCAAGGTTCTTTGTTAGTCCCTGAGGAAGGATAAACATAAATAAGATACATGTCTTGCCTCTTTGAAGCTTATAATATAATCAGCTCCTTCTCTGCACAATAACATCTTAACAGTTTTGCAAATCCATGATAAATATATTTCATGATAAAGGCAGACCTTTCCCCTGATTTGGATGATCTCATTGTTGTATTGTATAGAACCAAAAGAGGCCGATTGAAGAAGTTACCTAATACACTAATGTGTATTAATATGTAAAATATAAGATAAAATATAACTGATTGATAAATAGCAGTGGTTAGCCTTTCCTCACTTTAGTATTTATTTTGCTCAGTTGAAGGATTTGTAAACTGTAATTGTCACTCTGATATTTTTTCCCCTATGTTCTGATCCTTACTTGCATGTTAGGTGGGTATACCCGCTGCTTTTGACATGATGCTGACTGGTAGAAACATTCGTGCGGACAGAGCAAAGAAAATGGGATTGGTTGACCAATTGGTGGAACCGCTGGGTACGTGTTAGCATGCCTCAGAGTTGGGCCTTATGAAATTATTTATTTCCTTAAAGAGTTATATCTTGCATATTGGTTAGAGTGGAACTCATACTCTTAAGGAATGAGTCATCATTTTGAAGAGGGAAGTTTTCTAAAAATTATAATACTGCCCAGCCAGCATAGCTCTGCGGTTGAGTGTTGACCTATGAACCAGAAGATCATGGTTTGATCCCGGTCAGGGCACATGTCTGGGTTGCAGACTCGATTCCCAGTAAAGGGGTGTGCAAGAGGCAGCCGATCAATGATCCTCTCTCATCACTGATGTTTCTATCTCTCCTTCTCCCTTCTTCTCTGAAATTAATAAAAAATATACTTAAAGTAATAATAATAAATAAACAAACAAACAGATATCCTCCTGTTGTGGATTTCTAGTTTAATTTTGTTGTGGTCAGAGTACAATTAGTCTTTATTTGCAGTTTCCCCATCTGTGAGTGCATAGTTCATGATTCCTCCACCCACCAGTCTCTGATCTGACGTGGAAAGCTGTGCTGAAAGTGGGTGCTAGAGCCTTTGGCTTTGGCATGCCTAGGTTTTTGCCTACCTGGGACTCATCTAAAGCTGATTTGCATTCCAATCTCTTGTGTTTGTTTTTGCAGGACCAGGATTAAAACCTCCAGAGGAACGGACAATTGAATACCTAGAAGAAATTGCAGTTACTTTTGCCAAAGGACTAGCTGATAAGAAAATATCTTCAAAGAGAAGCAAAGGATTGATGGAAAGTGAGTGTTGTTATTAAAGAATAAAGGCAAAGCTTCTTTCCAGGGAGTTTAATTTTATTTGCTGTAAATTTTAAGTGAGGATAGGGTAAATGCATTATTTTCTGGAAGCATAAAGTTAACCTTAAGGGATATAACAACTCTGCTCTAGGGTCAAGTTCTGAACCTTATACTCGTAAGTTAAAACTATTTTTTTTAACTTTTTATTTTGGAACATTTTAAACATTAATACAAAAGAATTCTGTAACAGTGTATATTATACTATTACAACGCCCAGCTGAAGCACTTATCACATGATGAAGCTATGTTTGAAGCTGTGCTTAGGTTGAAATGTAGATTTTGTATATCAGAGTAAAGAGCAGTTCTTTCAGAACTATTGAATTTTTATGGAGTTTACAGAACAAACTAACAAGAAATGCTTATTGCCAATAAGTATTTAAAAGCTTTTTACCTTGCAGGATTGACATCGTACGCCATGGGTATTCCATTTGTCAGGCAACAGGTTTACAAAAAGGTGGAAGAACAAGTACGAAAGCAGACCAAAGGCCTCTATCCTGCACCTCTGAAAATAATTGACGTGAGTCTTTTCCCCTCTCAGATTTCTTATATTTTCCTCCTTTGTATAGCACAATACTCTTTAATAGCACAATACTCTTTATTGCCATTCTGGACTATATATGCCAGTACAGAAGTTCTTAATTCTGCCATTAAAGTACTTACCAAAAATAAGGATTCATATAAATTGGTATATTTGGGGATAATTAGTGCCAGGCATATTTATTAGTTGATGAGTTTAACACTGTCAATTATAAACCAGGATGGAACCTATGTCATATCAATATATCAAGGCCAGTAAAATATTGAGCTTGTATAAAGAGTTGAAACAAAACTGATGGCTATATTCTATCCTTAGTCAAAACCATTGTTCGTACCTACAGTGTCTCACTGACTTTCCCGTTGCCATAATTATACAAGAGATGTAATGATATAGGAAAGTTCCAAAAAGAACAAAGAATAGGTGAAATGATCAGAGGGTTAAAGAAACTTCTATCTAAAGATAGACTTTAAAACAGAACTCTCCGATCTGGAAAGTCTGAGATTAAGAGAGCGTATAATTAAAGACCTCAGAATTGGAGAATGGATTAGCCAACAGATATATTTTGGGCAGAAGACACCAAAGAACATAAAATATGAAACATAATCCCCTACCTCCATTCATCTCACAGTCGGGGCTGGGGAGATTAGACATATATATGTGGTAAGGCAGATAACAGTGTGAGGGACATTACAAAGCAGCATAGGATTATTGCCAGATACATGGGATGGAGGAAAATTGCTGAGTGCTCAGAGGAGGGAATAATCACTGTGAACCAAAGAGGTCAGGAAGAGCAGGATTTGACCTGAGCCCTGAGAAATGGGTAGAGAGTAGGTGAAAGGAAAGTGGGGCCAGGTCAGGTGGGCATTTTGAGCAAAGTTTCAGAAGGTGGGAAGCACCAGGCTCTTCAACGAACTTTATTGAGATTAGGTGTTGTAGGAGGACAGTGAGATGTCTGCAGAAAGGCAGATCAAAGCTAGATTGCAGAAGGTTGGTCAATAATGAGTTAAGAAATTTGTTCTGGCCCTGGCTGGTTGCTCAGTGGTTAGAGTGTCAGCCTGCACGCTGGAGGCCCATGGGTTCGATTCCTGGTTAATGGCACATACCTGGGTTATGGGTTCGCTCCAATCTAGTCTTTAAAAACTAACAACGCTAGCCCTGGCCAGTTTGGCTCAATTGGTTGGGTGTCATCCTGGTCACTGAAAGGTTGCCCGTTCAATTCCTGGTTGGGGCACATGCCCGGTTATGGGCTTAGTCCCTGGTAGGGGTTGTGCAGGAGGCAGCTGATAGATGTTTTGGTCTCACATCAATGTTTCTCTCTCTCTGTTACTCTCCCTTAAAAATCAAATAAACTTTTCTTTAAAATAAGTAAAGAAAGAAGCTAAAAATAAAAATTAACAACACTAGGCTGGCTTGGCTCAGTGGTTGAGCGTCGACCTGTGAACCAGGAGGTCACAGTTCGATTCCCCGTCAGGGCACATGCCTGAGTTGCTGGTGCAGTCCCCAGTGAGGGGTGTGCAGGAGGCAGCCGATCAATGATTCTCTCTCATCCTTAATGTTTCTATCTCTCTCCCTCTCCCTTTCTCTCTGAAATCAATTTGAAATATTTATATATGTGTGTGTGTGTCTGTGTGTGTGTGTGTGTGTGTGTGTTTAAACAAAAACTAAAAAACTAACACTAGTAATTTTATTCAGCCTTCTCTGAATAAATCCACTCCAACAGTGAACAAGTATTTTGTATGTTTTTTAGGTGGTCAAGACTGGACTTGAGGAAGGAAAAGAAGCTGGCTATCTTTCTGAATCTCAGGTAAAGTTTTTTCTTGTGATTTTTGCTTATTAGATATAAGAAAACCAAAGATCTGAGAATGTACAAAACTAAAAAAAGAAAAATATTCAAAGCCTAGTAAAACATTTCCTCCAGTGGTTACCATTTTTTCTGATTAATCTCAGTAGGCAAGTAGATGCAAGAAAACCTGGTGGTCCCCAACTATTTGAACTTGCTCTCAATAACAAAGGTATAACAAGGAAGAGCAGGGGCAGAGTTACAATTCTTTCGAATGAATAGTTTGGACATTTTGTGCTGAAGTCGGTCTGATTGTATTGTGATAAAATGATACATTGATAGAAAAGTATAGTCCTTACTTGTTAGGGCCTAGCGATAAAACTTTGAATTAGAAAATGAAAGGAAATGTTTTTTTGCACCCACTAAGAAAAAAAAAGAGAAAGAAAAAAATAAATTAATTTTTAAAAAAATAAATGAAAGAAGAGAAGGGATACAGGAACCAGCCTCACTCCTTTTACTTTCTGAGTTGGTGATACGGCAAATTTCAGTGGTTTGGGTTGTTTGTAAGTTCTAAGCAATCATTGAAGAATGATTGCTCTTTGGTAATAGGACAAAAGGTATGGGAAGAGCTTAGGAAAAGTTCCAGAGAAAACATGTCTGTACTTACTGCTTACTGCAGTGCACTTCTGATTTATTCTCTTCCATCAGTAAAATGGAAGCATATTTTATGCATCAATAATTGTTCACCCTGCATGTGTAGTACTAGGTATTTCCTGTCTATTCTACTTAGCACTACCCACTAAATTCATGAACACTGATGGATTTCTACCCACACTTTGAAAATCACTGGTTTATTGAATCACTGCTAAATCAAGATTAGTAAAGCATTGATTCTGTAGAACAGTGTTTCATGTTTTATGAGGACATGATAGCAACTTTATTAGAGGGATTCCTTCTTTGGAATACTATTTGGAACCTTGTAATTATAACAATAAATTCTAGTGATATTGGTGATGACAATAGCTAACATTGAGACCCTAGTCATTTTACTAGTGTTCTCATTTAATCCCCACAATACTGTTAAAAGAGGCATTGTTTTCCCATTTTAAGGATGAAGAAAGCTTCACAACTGAGAAATGGCAGAGCCAGGATTCAAACCCAGTTCTGTCAAACCAGACTCTAAAGCTCATGCTCCTCACCACTAAGCTGAGACTTGTTCTCCATAAGTGGTGATATACTTTTCAAAGTGGTAGGTCCCGTGTGGGCCACCTGCTACAGTGGCAAGAGAACGGGAGTTGAAAGTCATACTGCTTGGGTTCAGGTTCCATTTCTGCCGCTCTGAGACAGTGTGACTTTGAACAAGGTCATTTAATTTTTCTGGGCCTCCTCTTCCCTATCTTTAAACCGAGAGGGTTGCTTGAGATGATCATGAAGATCCATTTTGGCTCTGACACACTAATGCCATGAAAAAGGCTACCAGGACTCTAATGTAGAGAATGAGCTCAGTTATACCCAACACCTTTGAAAGCAGTAGTCGGAAAGTGCTGCAGATGAGAAGAGTAAAGAGAAGACACGTCCGTAGGAGACAGATGCCAGCACAGGCACCGCTGAGACCCCGAGGACCTGTGGCTTTGCTTGTGTTACCTCTGTTCCCCAGAGAAACCAAACGGAAGGGATCCATATCACCGAGACTGTGAAGTTCTACTTTTCCTTGTTCTTTTGTACATTTCAGAAATTTGGAGAGCTTGCGATGACCAGAGAATCAAAGGCCTTGATAGGGCTGTACCATGGTCAGGTCCTGTGCAAGAAGAATAAATTTGGAACGCCACAGAAGGAGGTCAAGTAAGTTAAACTCCCCAGGAAGCCCTGTGGACTTCCCCACGTGCTAAGCTTGTAGATGTCTTTGAAGAAGATCTACCCAGCTAGATTTATGTCTTCAATCTTGCCATAAACTACCTCTGTCCTGGGCACATTAGATCCCTATTCCTACCAAGAACTTTTTGGCTTTCTTTTCAGTGATCTCGGCATGATTGAAGATCAATATGATTCGATCTTCTTGGGTAGTCCAATTCTTATAAACCTAAAGGATTTTTTAATTTAACTTTGAAAATCAGTCATTTATTAAAGGTGTATTTTTATAAATAATTATTTGAAATACCTTATGATTATGTCTGCTTTAGTTGGTTTATTGGATGATAACTTGGGCATTCTCCTGCTTTTACGTAAATGATGAAAAGTTGTTTACTAGAAGTCATTTTATCCTTGCCTTTCAGGAACCTCGCTGTTCTTGGTGCAGGGCTGATGGGAGCTGGCATTGCCCAAGTCTCTGTGGATAAGGGCCTAAAGACTATACTTAAAGATGCTACGCTAACTGGGCTGAGCCGAGGACAGCAACAAGTGTTCAAAGGGTAAGCCTGCTTCTTGCCATTGCCAGAAGTTAGAATGGTTTTAGTGGTTTTTTGCCATCATTGATTCCTTTTTGCTGAACATGATGAGTACTAGATGCTCCATAGTTGAGCTATGTTTCCTTTGATCTTGTTGTTGTTAATCCTCACCCGAGGATATTTTTCCATTGATTTTTAGAGAGTGGAAGGGCGGGGGAGAGACACACAGAGAGAAACATCGATGTGAGAGATGAATAAATTTGGAACACATTGATTGGTTGCCTCCTGCAGGGATCAAGCCTGCAACCGAGGTACGTGCCCTTGACTGGAATTGAGCCTGTGACCCTTCAGTCCAACTGTGGAGGCTCTATGCACTGAGCCAAACCGGCTAGGGCTGATTTTTTGAAATGCTAATTCCTTCCTTTACTTCATGTTGTCACAGATATTATAAACCATTAGTATTATCAGACTCTGTAGTCTTTGAGTGCAGAAGAAAAATCTTTATCTATTAGATATTTTTAAATGACATTTATTTTGTACTTTGGTATCAGACTGAAAATTGTGAATTTGATAGTTTTCATGTAATAGCTTATTGTTATGGACTGTCTTTGTGGAGAGAACTGAGGTTAGGAATGAGGAAATGCGAGTAACTGCACGTTGAAGGTAGCACTGGGACCAGAACTCTTGAGCCTTGTTGACTGGCGTGACTGTGGAGAAGCAGTTGATTGATTTGGTTCCGCAGTGTCTCAGGCTTTATAAGACTGTCTCCATCTTACCTCTGAATTAATAAAGAGTAAATATTATTCTCCTCTGCTCACCTAACCCTCTCCCCACACACACTTGCTGCCTGTTTTGCAGAGGGGAATAGTGAAGCAGCAGCTTCTCCAGATGGGAATTGGTTTCAGCTCAGTTCTCTGCTCCACTGCAATGGACAGGCTGGCTGCACTTAGAATACCTGCATGTGACTGTTAGCTGAGTGAGCATTTTTTTGTTTCTCAAGTGGATTAGGTAGCTTAAAGCATGTTTTTACCCCTTTTCTGCAGAGAAGCTCATCTATTGCTACCAGGGACCTGGCAGATTTAATCATTTTGGCAGATTATTTTAAAATAACAAGGAGTTGGAGCAAAAGAAAGTATGTGTGCTAGACATCAGCATCGCTCTTAGACTAGCCTGCAAGCGCCCCACGGCATTTCATAGTCACCTAGTGAGAAACTGCTACTCTAGAACAGCTTCCTCCCTGGATCTCTTTTGGGTCCAGGTGTCCTGGTTTCCCTTTGCCTTAGAAACACCAGGCTCCGGTGAATGCCCCTCACCAGACTGCTGACTTGGGACCTACATGGATCCTGTCCTCCCTCAGAAATAGTTTCATTAGGCATTGGCATTAGAGCAACTGATTATATCTTGAACTCTGACAAGTTGTATTGTTTGCTGACATGGTTGTCAGAAACCAGGAGGTTTGAACCCATACTTTTAAGACTTGCATACTTCTTTGAACTTATCTTGTGGCTTTAATTTTTCTTTTTGGTTAAGGAAATTAGTGAAGGGGCTTTAGCTTCATTCTTCATTCAAAGGAAAACTCTAGGTCATTTATTTTGAAAATATGGTCAGATAAAAACCTAAGAGAGCCTGTTTTCCTTGGCAATCTATAATAATGAAAGTATAATATGATAATTAGACTAGACAGCCAAACGACCTTCCAGACGACCTTCCCAACAAAGATGGGGCTGCGAGGGCCTCGCTCCTTGCACGAATTTCGTGCATCAGGCCTCTAGTAAAAAATAATCAGATAAATGTTTGAGTAGTAGAAATCCTTTTAGCTCTCAGTGGGAAAGAAGAAACTTTGAGTTAATATTTTATGTGATCAATACAATATGCTACTAGGTATTGACTGGAAAGTTGGTTAAGAATATAAGAAATAATTCTTGGTCTCTGTCCTCTAGAAAATTATAAATACAGAATAACCAAATGATTTTTAAGCAAGTATAAATCCATATGGTCTAGGACATGGGTTGGCTGAGAGCTGCTCTTAGTTTTGCCATTCTAGTATTTGTGTTTACTCCTCATGGCAAAACTGTTTTATGAATGATACAGTTTATGTAAATTGGGCTCTGAAAGGCATCTTGTAAGAGAAAGAATGTGGACTTGGGGGTTACCTGTCTGAAACCTTGTGCCCTAGGTACCCTGGTACCTAGCTCTTTGACCACAAGTTGCTCTGAGTCTTTTTGAGCAAGTCAGCTCCCTCAAAATGGGAATAAGACCTCACAGAGTTGGTGGAAAACATAATATACTCTCTGGCCCATGGACAGTCAATAAATGTTAGTTTCCTACTCTTCCCTTTTGACTAGAAATTTTTTTTTCTAGACTGAACGATAAAGTGAAGAAGAAAACTCTAACATCATTTGAAAGAGACTTCATTTTCAACAACTTGACTGGGCAGCTTGATTACCAGGGTTTTGAAAAGGCCGACATGGTGATTGAAGCTGTTTTTGAGGACATTAATCTTAAGCACAAAGTACTGAAGGAAGTAGAAGCGGTAAGTAAGGGGCCTGAGTACTTGAATCCTAGTATAGTGAGTGGAGGACACAGATACGGGGTTTAAGGAACTACAGGAAACTCATTGTTCTTTTTATGAAGAGCCCAAGCCTAAGTTTTTATGTGCGCTCATGCACGCTGTATGTTGTAAATGTCAAATCTAAGTCCTATGGAGGAAAATCAAGTAGCTTATTATCCTAAGCACAGGTTTTGTTAGCCGTATATGGGAGTTCAGTCACCCAAGCATACAAATAACCTCATGGAGTAGAGGCAGGTTTCTCGCCATTTTGGGTTGACCGTAAGCCGTAACAGAAGTTCTTCAGGTCTAGACAGCAAAGGAAATAGGGAGAAACAATTTCAACAGGCAGGATTCAAATGCCTGCTTTGTGGAAATACTGCTTTTTTAAATATTGATTTCAGAGAGGAAGAGAGAGGGAGAGAGAAATAGAAACATCAATGATGAGAGAGAAGCATTGATCGGTTGCCTCCTGCATGCCCCACACAGGGGATCGAGCTCGAAACCTGGGCATGTGCCCTGACCAGGAATTGAACCGTGACCTCCTGGTTCATAGGTCAACGCTCAACCACTGAGTCATGCCAGCATTTATCCCAAATGCTCTTTGTCACAGTTCTTGAGTTGGGATGACAGAAACAAAACAAGTACTTGTAATATAAAGAAAGAGCCCAGAAAAGAAGAAATGGCAGTAATCCAGGCATGAGATAGAGGTGATGCGTAGACTAACCTACCGTTAGACAAACAGAACGTGGGCTAATAAATGATATAAATAAAATGGTGCTGACTTGACAACACTCTAGGTGTTTTGAGTAGTGAGCATTACTCTTAGATGACTGTCTAAACCCACTCCTTTGACATTCTTCACAATCCTTCTCTCCAAACTTCTCACTGTCTTGGTTGTCCCCTTTAGTATCTTCATCATGTCTCAGTGCTCTGTTGCCATATGACAAACCACGTGAAAACAATTCACAGTTCTGCAGTTTGGATAGGGCTTCCTAGAGGCGGCTGGTCCTTAACCATGTGGTTTCACTCAGCGTCACTCATGACTGCGTTCAGGGGAAAGCTTGGTTGGAGCGCCTCCCAGTGGCCTCCCTCTGCTGGTGGCCTCCCGTACTTAGTCGTTCAGCCAGAACTTCTCTACAGCACGGCTGCTGGCTTCCAAGAGAGCAAATGCAGGAGCTACTGGGCTTAAGGCTAGGCCTGGAACTGGCAGTCACTGCTGCTGCATTCCATTGGTCAAAGCAAGTCACAGGCCAGCTCAGATTCAGGGGAGGGAAATAGACTCCTCCTGGGTGGGAGGACCAGCGGGCATGTACAAGAGGGGAGGAGCTCTTGCCAGCCATCTTTGGTGACATTGGTTTGTTCTTCATAAAGAATTTTGCCACCAGCGTTAGACACTGTACCACCGTATTGTAAGTGGAGACTGCGGTAGCTTTCTTACAGTCATGCTCTGCTGTCAACTCACATTATACTTTTGATGAACTAAAATCCTGGGATCTTTATCAGGGGATCACTGCCAATTCAGGTCTTGTTCATCAGGTGCCCGTTTAGTTCTTTTTTTCCCTTTTTAAAAAATCTTAATGCAATACTTTTTCCCCATTATAATTTATCTTGTTTTACACTCAGCTTTCAGTGTGTTGAATATATCTTGAACCTCAATTTTCATCTTTGATGTTGGGCTTCTGCCTGTCCCAGATTTGCACAAATGCCACAGGTGTGCTTTCCATGTTTTCATCCAGGCATCTGAATACAAACATGAGCCGAAACCGGTTTGGCTCAGTGGATAGAGCGTCGGCCTGCGGACTGAAAGGTCCCAGGTTCGATTCCGGTCAAGGGCATGTACCTGGGTTGTGGGCACATCCCCAGTAGGAGGTGTGCAGGAGGCAGCTGATCGATGTTTCTAACTCTCTATCTCTCTCCCTTCCTCTCTGTAAAAAATCAATAAAATATATTTAAAAAAAAAAAAAAAAAGAATACAAACATGAATAATTTGGGATCATGGACAGAATGCTGAGAAGGGTCTACATTATAGACTATTCTGCAGGTTGATAAAGCTGATAGTTAATAGTATTCATGTACTGTAGATATAATTATAGTGGTGTATCGCTTTTTAGTAGCACAGAGTATAAAATGAGGTAGGCATGCACTTTATGGCTTATTCTTATAAAGGTGAAGGGTGGGAGTGTCATAAGCTTTCAGACTTGAGTGCAGATCCAAACAAGAAGAGGACTGACACCCATGCTTGATATTGAAATGACTGAATTTTGATTCAAGGTCACCTTTCTTCAGTGTTTATCTGAAGTGTCTTATTTACGTAACTGTTGGGGTGTAGTCTCCAGGTTAGGATTAGGTGACCTTAGGATGGGCCGTAACTGGAAGGCTGAATGGAAAAGAGAACAAGGCCAACACATTCCTCAGCACATGCCCTAGGAAGTCGTAACTGTCAGGCAGTGTGTCTGCAGTCCGCGCAGTTCTGGGTGAGAGGATGGGCTGGGCGCGAGTGTCACTCATTACTTGACTTTGGACTCCAGTCACCTCCCAGGCCCACGTGACACATTCTTCAATGCTTTTCCCCTGCAGGTGATTCCAGCTCATTGTGTTTTTGCCAGTAACACATCGGCTCTCCCAATCAATGAAATTGCTTCTGTCAGCAAAAGACCTGAGAAGGTAAATTTTGAAGAGAAAAACCCTGAAATGTCTTACAGCCTCAGACTCATTGAGAAGGGACTGGGGTGGAGCTGACAACGTATTCCCCAAAACTGGGCACAAAAAAGCTAGTACCATGACCAGTGTGTGATGCAGGAACAAGTGAAGTACAACTAAAAATGCTTCTATAGGTGATTTGCATCCTCATGGGTATAATTATTCAGGTTCAGACTATGAAACCCACCTTTATTACAATTAGGTATTGAAAGATAGGCCCAAGAAGGGATCCTCCAAAATATCACTTCATCTACATAGCAGACTCTGGTGACCGACTGTCCAGAACAGGTTTGGTTCCAGTTCCAGACTCAGGAATGAGGATCAGGTGTGTGGTAGGATGTCTCTATCTGTGGGGGTTACTTAGACCTTTGACCCAGGACATGAAATGGGTGGGTGTGGAAGGACTTTCAGCGATTTGAAATGAGGACCACAGGTTGATCTTTGGGCTTCTGCTATCCACCAGAGTAAAATCAAGGGAAAGTGAAAACACTCAAGGATAAATGAAACACCTCACCTCTTAGGAGGACCCAGTTGGCCTCATCCAACCAGAACCAGCCAAAGGTAGGCAGGAAGTGGAAAAGACTTGAAGGATTTGAAAGATTAACACATTATCCATGTACTAAAAACACAAAAGCCTCTTTATTCCTGTTCTAATAGTTTGCTAATTTCCTAGCACACAGCAGATTAGGGCCGGATAGAGGCAGGCTCAGTGATGGCAGGAAAAGGTCACAGGGAGAAGTGGCAGCTGATAGTGTGACACTAAGGGAAGACACAACACAGTGTAAAGGCAGATGGACAGTCTGGCATTGTCACCACACGCAGAGCACCTCCGCAGCATTTAAAGTCAGCAGAGGAGCCCTCTTGTTCCTTTGCTGCCACCTCTCGTTCTCCCCAGCGGAGAGGAGCAAGCATCGCGCTTTGCAGTCCGGCCTGCAGGATCTCAGATAATTCTCATCACCTAATGTCATTCGTATGCAAGTAAGGCCAAAGGGACCAACCATCTCAGTTTGCCCAGAACTGACGGCGTCCTGTCTGTCCCTTCTCCCCCCACAAAAAGTAGACCCTCTCACCTAAACCGTCAGCATTAATACAAGTGGACCCTCCATTCTTGCCTGATAACTCTAATTTGGCCTTTAGCTATGATTTTGGTACCAGTTGTTGGTGGGACCAATTGCCCTCAGTGAAAAGCCCTAGAAGCAGATGGAAGAGGATCCAGTAAGCTCTCTCTGAACATACTGAACTTTTGATCAAAGAACCATGGACCAAACCACTTGACTCTGCCAAGCAGTGCTCCTGGAT